AACGCATCCAGTTACGTTCTTGTCATATCGCTCCAGAGGCCGTCGAGATTCGCACCGGGTGCCCGGGGGCATCGAACGTCCGCAACCAGACACAGCTGTTACGTAAAAAACCTGGCACAGCCAGGTGATTACGTAATAGCTGTCCGCAGAAGCCCTCGGACGTCCGAATTCTGCGTTAGCCGACAGGTTTTTTTTTTCTCGGCTTTCGAACCATTTACGGAAATTGTTTGAATGGATATGTACTGTTATCGTAAATCTTGGCTTGTGATCGCGGCTTTGTAGATTATCGTATTCGCTTTGCTGGAGAGACGCAAACGACGGGCATAACAAAATCGGTTGCATATTCCGCATACCTTGCGAAAGCACTTCCCCAGTCACCTTGCGAAAATCGCGAAACACGGAGTCCGCATCGTCCCGACTTCCCAGTCTTTTACCTGCTTTAGAGCAGTTTGTACCTGCTAGTAGGTATGTCTACTGAAACTTGAAACTAGGTGCAGTGCCAGAGAGGCAAGGAGACAAAGTTCGGAAAGCTTGCTCGCCCTCCCCAATTTCTGAATTTTCAAGTGATTGTACCGTAACAAATGCACAACGCCTCTTCCCAAAATAACAAAAACAAAAAGCACTATGTTCACTACGTAAAAAATGGTCTCGGTTCATGCATCATTGGGCAGGTAGGAAATCTTGCCCAAATTTATTCACACCGCGCGATGAGCGCAACACGTCGCTATGCAAACGCAGTCCAACACGAAGCATAAAAACGGCAAATTTAGGACAACAATCCGAAGTTCATTGTTCAATTAAAACAACGTAATTTTGTTGAAAATGCCTGCAGCTTTTTACTCACGGTATGCGTTGGGAATCTTCCATATTTTGAAACGGAATGAAGGGAGATTTACTTTTAAAAACGCTCGCTGCGTCCTCCTGGACCAGTTCCACTGGATGAGCTGACGACGATGGGACTGAACCCGCTTAACCTCAACCCCACAACAGCCAATTTGCGCTCCATGTTGGGTGTCTACTTCCAAGCACTGCACCACACACACCACGAATGTTTCAGTTCTTTGTCGCATCGCCGTGTTGCACCAAACAAAACGAGATCGCCGAAGTCAACGCAGGGCTGTCGTGAACGTTGGCTTGTGGTTGCACACTCGTGGACCCTGTGATTCCCTTCGCTTTCAAAGCACACACGACGATTACGAATGATACTTTGCGTCTTCCGGGAACATCACAGGGACACTTCTCCGGTCACGTCTTCGCTATGTGCTCGCAAACCAAAACAATACCGGCGCCATGTTTAGCTTGCGTTGTTGCCAGATCTTACCGGAAGTCGAGGCGCTGCGTCGTTCAACTCAGCAGCCAAGTCAACAAAAAAGCAAATCCAAGAGTGAGAGGCGGGGCGTAGTTCTCCTCTGCGGCGGTCGAAAGAGTGGGAGTTTCAAATGTGGAGATGTTCTGACTCCGACTAAATTACGTCCTGTGACGTAAATATTGCTAAAAAAAATTTTTTTTTTTTTGCGGAACATTTGTTTTGTGACATGGTTGTCCCAATTAGGTTGTTTAAAAAAACACTTTTTTTTTCTGTGCAGTTACTCTTTAAGGGCAGCACTGGTTGGTTATTTCAATTAATGCAGTGCAAAAAATTAGGTTATTAACTCCTTCAGTGATTAGAATTAGTTCCTTTTATTTGCAACTGTTCATAAAATTAAAACAACCCTTTGCATAAAAAAAAATTCTCCAAATCTAGACACGCTTGTATCAAGGCCTGGCCACATTGTCCACAAAGTCGAACCGGTCGAATCTAGTTAAAAGTTCGAAGGTTCGTTGAACAAGTCGAACCCTGAAAATTCGACCTAAAAAATCCGGTTCGAGAAAAGTTCACGACACCCCTAGTTTTCATGGAAAAGTTGGTATATAAGTCGCACCTGATTGCACGGTTCACGCCATGAGTTTTTTAGTTTACGCGCATCAGAACTGCGAAATCGTAGTTTCGAACAATTGGCAAGATCGCATATACCGTTTGACGCACAACTTTGACGTTTCGACTTGTGAGAAATGCCCATAGCATGGCGCTGTCGGGCGGGGGCAATCGAGTGTTTTGCAGCAAGAGGACGTAAAATGTACAAAATGAGAACGTAGTCGGCTTTGTTCGAGCGAACACAGCCAAGCTAGATGTAGTGATTCTCGTCGCCAAAATGTTGTAATAAAAGCGGTCACCCGTAAAAATAAAGAAGAGCAGTGCCTGCGTGGGCCTGCGGAAAAACGAGGGGTCTCGCATGCCGAAGTGGTGACCGGCGGGCTGGACGCTGGAGCCCCGGAAGGAAGGAGGCACGTCTGATACAGTCGGTCGCTGAAGTGTACTTTGGTTTATTAAAGGTAAAACAAACATGGGAGTAGGGCGCCACGGGGACGCGACCCTGACAACACGGCGCAATGGTGGACAGTGGCGCCATCTAAATTGTGTGTATAGAACTTGCGAAAAATTGAAATACTACACTAGACGCTCGCAAACCAAGCTTTGACCCACTAGGCCTAGCCTAGGCCAAGTCCCGGAGGCGACGCGAGCATCGATGGGGAGCAGAAGGATAAACCTTGGCATACCTTTTTCGGTACCGCTAAAAGATTGGCTAGTCACAATCCTTCCTTTTAGATGTAGCAACACGGCTGGAGCATGGCAAATCAAAACTGCTTGTCAAACGGAAACTAAGAAAGACACGAGAAAATTTTCTGCTATGCGTGTATAGACGTTTTCTGTTTCCTGTCATTGTCACTCACGTGGGTTGTGTATCTGGTAAGCGGGACGAAAAAATAATAAAACATTTCAACCTGGAATATGCGAGAAAATAGAGGTAAGGCAAAACAGGAATAGGTATGTGACAGTTGTGCATTTTTCGTAAGCACCTTCCAGCGGCATGGAGAGATCAGAACGATGTCCAGAAGGGACGACATTCATGATGGCCGCGCACTCGTGGAAAAGGTGTATAGAGTGTTTGCACGTGACGTCAATCCGCCATTTTGTTGTTACAGTGTAGACCGCATATAACGTATGTCGCAGGAGTCGCGAAAATCCTCACTATAAGCGGTACCGCGCTAGAACCAAAACATCAATTTTTCAGGCCAAAATACATGCCATAAGACAACTTACCTTCGTAAAAGAATTTATTTTATGTTACATGAAAAATAAAGCTTAGTTTGAGGAAAGTCTTTATTTTACTAGACTAGTACACTTCTCTCTCAAGTGTGTCACACATTTTGAAAGAAATGAGCGACCTTTGCCTGGCGCAGCCTTTTAACGGCGTCGCGGGTTGCGGACGGACGTTGCGAGCATTCAGGATTGCTAACCCTAATCACTTTTCTCCGGCGATGAAAACGCGTGAAAATTCGCATCCTTTATACGGTACGCGCCAGTAATACCTTCAACTTGAGCACAGGCATGAAAGGCTCCAAATAAGAAATCCGGGCAATGTTCGAAAACACAAATGCTTAGAAAGCACCACTGTAGTTGAAGTAAACAAACAAGACGACACTAGCGTTTCTGCCGTCTTGAGAGTGCCGCCACAACATCGCCGCACGAGTAGGTGGATCTTCCCTTCTAGTACGTGCTGGGTTATCATAGCGACACACAACGAAAATTCACGGTCAAGGATAGCGCTTTTACGTGGAACGATGAGCTTCCACCATGCCGTCTACGTCGACGATCACAACCGACGCCATGTGGATAGAAGCAGCCGGCCCGCGACCGGCGTGCAATGCGCGCGAACACCACTTCTCGACCTGAGACTGGTCTGTCGTTGCGGTTGTTTCCAAATTCCAACGCAGCGGAGGGACGCACGCATGTGAACAACACGTGCGTGCGTCCCTCCGTCGCTATGACAACTGAAAGCCTATCTCTTCGCTTCTCCCCGCTTCTTCGAGCAACCTCCTTGCCCCGTGAGTGTCGCTTGCGGCTCGTGCCGTTATCTAGTGTCGCACAGGGAAGTGTGCTCGCTGCGCCGGTCAATCGGCGCGGTCGGCCCTACTGTTCCAGAAACCGCACTATAACCGGTATTTCCCTTCGCGTGCCTGCATTTTAAGCGGTATGTAATGGACCTTTTTCCAGTAAGGAGTGCCCCATGATGGTTTCGCCGCCTACTACAAATGGAGGGCAACCGGACTCGCCTTCTCCCATAGGAACAGATTAGTGTCGCAAGAAAACAGTGCCCCCCCAAAAATGGCGAAAGGGTGGTCAAGGTCAAGTGGAAAGGGTGTGCACGTGCGCAGAGGCTTACTGGAAAAAGGTCCATTACATGGAGTTTTATGGGAGGCGAACCGGTGGTTTAAAAAAGCCGCGTTATACCCGGTCCTGCACTATAAGCGGTTACGTTGTAAGTGGTCTATACTGTAGCTTGTTTTTCCAAACAAATTTACAAATCTAAAGGATTGCATCGCAACCGGTTGAAAAGATGTCAGCGTGGTAAGACATAAGCTTCTGTGCTCTGCGCACTTGAGCGGCCACGTAAATCCTTGGAATGCTCGAGTTTGGCACAGGCCAGACAGCTCACAACAACAAAATGGTGGATGAAATTACGTCAGTGAAAATACCCTATAGTAGCCCACTTACCTTTCAGTGTTACTGAGCTGAAACAAAAGAATTCAGAACCATGGCTGTATTAGGCAACGTCGATAGCATGCTGTAAAAAGCTTTATTCTGACTGTCTTGCCTACCCATATTGAGTTGCTTTCGGGAAATCGTAAAATTTCTCGGTTTCAGAGTCAGTTATGAAAAGTGTAAAAGAGTGCGGCGACAGCAGTGCCTCTTGGAAGGGGCAACACCACCTGTGGTTACGTAGTTAGGTGCTCTCATGGGAAAGCGTGACACTGCGGTTTTTACGACGGCCATTTGTTGCCGTTCGGGGCCCATTTTTATGCGGAATGGGACGCCAAACGCGCCGGTCTGAGACGCATCCTTGCAGCAGTGGTACACTCCCTCCAGCGCAAAGAGTGATGGGGGCCTCTGCTCGCAGGGCCGGACCTGGACTTGGCTGGCCGGCGGTCTGGTGGCCGTGGCCGCGCTGGGCGTGGCGGCCTACCGCCACGTGGCCATTGTGTGACCTCCGTTCCCGGCAGCGTCGTCGACACCTGGTCCTGCCAAAGAGTCCGCGGATTCCGATGCCCCGTCGGCTTCGTCGCTCCGACAGTCGCGACTGCCCCGGGCGTGCCCCGATTTGTTCCGTTTTTAGGAGTCTGCGTCGCCCTGGGTTGGCTTTCTTCAAATTTCTTCGTATCGGTTTCTGTTTGGATCTTCGTTTAGAGCGGGGCACTTCCCGAAGCTCTCGGCGGCCCCAAGTTGTTGTAGGGACGATTTTTTGTTGTTTTCCTCGAGGGAGTCGCGTTTTGGGCTGGGTCAAGTCGCTGCAATTCGTCGCGTTTTGCGAGCGACGCGGGCATTGCAATTGGCGTCGACATCGTGAAACTCCGCGGGCGGCTCGCAAAGTTGGGCCAGTTTTCTGAATGCTCGGGGTCGCTGCGGACGCCATCACCTCAGTGCCTAACGTGGGGACCACCTTTCGCATTGCGTCATGCCGTCGCGTTGCATCTCCATACGTACGTCAGTTGCAGGCGTGTTTGCCGTCGGGTACGGGCCAACGTCGGCCCCGTCTCTCGTGGGTTTCGGGGCTGGCCGAGGCTCGCCGTTTCGTGGCGTGGTTGTGCGGGTTTCGGACGACGAATCAATATAAAAGTTCACCCCGTCTCTAGGCTATGCATTCCATGGCAGCGGCCATTGCTTCTGCACGTGGCGGCTGCCAGTCTGCTTTGGAAGCTCAGGGTTACCTTTTCCGTTTTGTCTGACGCTCGTTTGTTGGAAAGGCTCGATGGATGTTAGGAGTTGGTAGGTGGGTACCCTGCATACCTGTCTGTGCAGAACTCTGTGTGGAGTATTTGCATAACTATAGGAGTGCTTTTCTTCAATAATAAAAGTGTGCCGCCCCCACGTGGTCTCTGTGTCTTGAGATCTTGCCCTAGGGTGGACTGCAGCAGAAGCTTCGGGCCGTCGAGTTGTGAGCGAATGAGTAACCACGGGTGGTATGTTGGGTATATTGCTCCCACATAAGTATGGTTGTAGAATTCCATCATAGGGTGAAGTGGAACCTGGCTGTTTGGTGTACCATGTTCGAGTGGAGTAGTACCAGAAGGGGCATTTTCTTAAAAGTCCACCACTTAAAATGCACTCACACCCCCAATTTCTTTTTTCTTCTGCCTTGCAATTTATTGTGGTTTTGAAAGACTACTCAATCAATATTTTGCTACAGTGTCGCATATATTTTTTTACAAAGTCTAAACATGCGACTGTTTGAAACCGAAAGTGGACTGGGGAGGAAGAAGGAATATAGAGGAGAGTAGCCGAAAGTCTGGTGGCTGTGCATTTTTTTTTTCCAGTCAACGTATTTGCAGCTTAGAAGCCACAAAAAGTGGGTATCCTATTGTTTTTCCATTTTTAATATTGAGTGTTTGCCTTTGATGATCAACGACTGATTACATTTGGGGGTTGTGCCTAAAGCATAGAAAACGGCACGTGGCTATGGAGAAGAGAGCACGACTCAAACAGGCCAGTTTTCGATCGACCGTTTTCGGGTGGAAAGAAAAAGAATTTTGATCTGCAACTTGCCATCTGGGTAGTTGGGCTCACATATGTCATGTAGAAATAAAAGCATTGGCAAGCACATATGCCCTATCAGTGTCCCTTTAACCTGAAACGGGGAAGGAAAAGAGGGGACAACACACGTCTCTGATCTGTGAACTCTTCACGAGCTCAACTGCGCACCTGCCCTTCTTTCAAGTCTACCAATGCTGTGTTTCCACTCTAGTTTTTATCTGACACTTTATAAACAAATATTTTGCCATTGAATCCATCTGGAAGGGACAAGCCTGTTCAAACATGCAGGGCACACAAGGTCAGTTTTCATATGCAGCGCAGCAGGGGCGTAGCCAGGTGAGTGGGGGGGGGGGGGGGGGGGGGGGGCAGGAATCGGGTGGAGGTCCTCGCATCCCCGCAGCCATCTCGGCCCTGCCCCCTTTGAAAAAACACATTTCCTCGCTGTGCAACTGCAGCACGGTGCTGATTTAGCGATGAGATGGCTACTGCCAATTTTAAAAAAATGGTTTGAATTCTCGGTTTGAGAAGTGTTTGTTCTGGCACACTGAGCCAATTGAACGAAACGCTTGCAAACGTTTATTTAGGACGAATATATATGTCCTTCCGCTTTTTGGCCGTGGGAAAATTATTTGTCTCCCACGCTGATGCCTTCAAATGGCGTGCAATGAGGAGCTTAATGGTGCCCCAAAACGGTTCGTCGTTTGGCTGTCCTCGACACAAACTCTTTCCCGATAGAGTTGAGGTCATGTTTTGCTGCTTGCTCACTATTTTTGTGCAGCAGCATCGCCCGAGTCTGTCACCTTTGTGACATAGTAGCCGCGAGGTAACTCTTGATGTGCCGGATTGCGCTGAAACTTTGTTCAGCCGGTGCTGCTGGCACTGTCATTATAAGGACTGCAAGGCGCATCACTTCAGTGATCATCCTCTTGACCTCTGGGACTTGTCATCCCAGAGCACGGCACAACTCGGGCTGACTGCTTGACAGCGAATGAACCATGTTCAGCTGCCTCGAAAGGCTTTCCAGGTGAAAATCAGCAGCGTGCAATCCTAACTTCCTTTTAGGTTCTTCTGCTGTTTGTGGCTTAATTCTCGAAGAGCGCACAAAACGATTTGCTCCAGTTGTGCGAGACTGCGTGCCTGCTTGTTTGAATTGTCGTTCAAGCTTCGTGCAAACACAATCTAATGCTTTGTAGAACTTCTTCCGGAGGCCTGTTTCTGCATTTAGAAATGCTGGTTGACAGTCCGTATGTAGAAGATTACTTCCTCGACTCACTTTCCCGCAAAACTACTTTATCTGCCTTTTTCCGAATTATGGCTCGGATAGTAAATGGACCTGTCTCCCTAGCTGTCTTTGCGCTAGCTGAATAGAGAGTAGAGCCCTTCTTTCTGGTGACCTCGGAGCAAAAGCTAATCCACTATGGGAAAAGCGACTTTTGGGACGCCACTATTGAGGTCACTGCAACTCGATGAGTCAACAGGATGTCTCTGACGTGCTACTTGCAGCCAAAAGGCGCTCGTTTAGCATGTACAGTCAAACCTGACTATATCGAACCCGGTTACATCGAATTTTCCCTTATATCGAACAATTTTTGTGCACATTTATGTTCGAGTGATAATATATAGCAAAAACTATGGTTACATCGAACAAAAATAGCAGCCGCTACTGATTAATCAAACTGCCAAGAGCATTGTTTTGCTCTGCATGCTGGCTTTCCCCCAATTCGAGCGGCCGCTTTGGGGGAAAACCAACTAACAGAAAAAACTTTTTTTTTTTTTTAACAAACAATTGCGTTGATTGCCGCAAAAAAAAAAAAAAAAAAAAATCTCTTGTGGAGGGAGCGGGGAGAGGGTGCTCCATGCGCCCTCTCCCCGCTTTTTCGGCAAAAGAATATTTTTTCTTCCGGGCGGTTGACGCGCCCGCCCGCAAGAAAAAAAGGCCAGCTTGCTCTGCTAGCTGGCTTTTCCCCAACGCAGTCGCCTTCCTTAGGGAAAAGCCAACTTGCAGAGCAAAATGGCTCTGCAGAAGGTTTGCTCCTGCTCGGACGTGCTCCGTGCTCTCGACATAGTTCGGCGCTAATGCGCGAATATAGAAGGCAGCGGCCTCAACATTTTGGAGTCCGTCGATAGCGTAGAAAAATATCGTTATCGCGGATGCAATGAAGAAAAAGCAGCAGAAGATTCAAGACTATTTCATTGTGTAATATGCCAGTGGAAAGTGGATTTTTGAGTAAAATTCATTAAAACTTTTATATCGAATTACCCGCTATATCGAACTGTTAGACGTTTTTTTCTTGCGAGTTAGATATAAACGGGTTTGACTGAATTTTCGAGCCAAAAATGTGGAAAAGCGTCTATTTCTGCAAGGACCTAATTTTTGCGAATTTTGGGGCAACGAATAATATACTTGCGCCACTTATTTCAATTTACGGGTAACATAGTTACGTTGCTTGTTACATCTTCCCAGGCTCTAAAAAAAAGTACACTTTCTAAAGGACAATTTTTTTTCACATTTCCTAACTTCGTCCAGACGCAGCTGACGCTGCGAGCTGATGGGATAAATCAGATAGCGTAAAACAGGCACCATCACGGCGTTCGTTATGTTTTTGGATGTATTCTATCATCGCTGAACCAATCGTAAACAAAAAAAAAGGCCCTGTTACTTGCGCTTTTGATGCTGCCTGATTGGTCCCCTTAGCTCATAGCGTAGGCTGCACTTGGACTTAAGACAAAGTTGTTTCTACATGTGCCAAGTCACTAATTATTGCACTCATCCACATACCTTCAAGATTTTGCCTGTCTTTTCCCCATACAAAAAGTCTCACTTTAGAAAAACCCCAAGGCCCACGCCCTTTGATTCGTGCTTTGTCTGAATGTCAAAACATGCTGTCGCAAAAAAGAAAAAGATGATAACATCGTTTTTTTAATAAAAAGTAATGCAAAAGTAACGTGCAACACTTTATGGTAACGGTAATATGTTTATTTTATTTTGAAATAACGTAGATCGGTAACACATTTATTTATTTTGCGTAACAATGTATTTCATTACTTTTTTTTCGGTAAGGCCTAACAGTTGGTACACGGAAGACAGTAACGGTTCTAGCTAAAAGACCCAATTGTTCCTTATGAGTTATCTACTTTACTAACCGGACACACGAGCAAAAATTAAGTTTTTTGACCGATGCTTTCAGGAGTGCCCCAGAGAAAATACCGTAGCTAAAATCACGGATAGGTGCTCTTTGTGGCGAGGACTTTACTTTTTGCTTTGTTGCGCACATTCTCTTCAAATACACTTTGTTCATCGGTAATTATTGGCTTTACAAGTCCTACAGCGGCTTGGTTGGCCGCATGCCAACGCTTTTCAGAGTAGGAGGCTAGCAGACGACGCGCAGGGGGCCAATCCCATCTAATTCCATCAGAACTGCAGCGCCGCCGCTTCGCCGGAACTGCGGGGCGCGCCCATAGAGTCAATGTACGCTATAGGTTTAAGTGGCGCTAGTGTGCTGACGCGAATTGAAGCAGACAGCAACTAGTCCGAAATTGAATTCCGGTAATGCATTTCTTTAAAAAAAAGTGAGTGCATTTTCTCCCTGCCCTCTATCATAAGAGAAAATATCCCAAATAATTCGTACAAATAGCTTGGAACATTTCTCAGTCAGGCCGACGAAATAATTGGTCAGTTACGGCTTTTTTCTATATCAAATTGATTGCATTAAAAACGGTGCTAAAACGGCTTTGTACGCGTATTTGTGTGCACTTTCGGACACTGTTAGCGCGAACACGACGTCGGCGCTTTTCAGGATGAGGGATATACGTGCCAAACGAACGAAGAACATCTGGAAATTAAGGGAGACGGCGAGAACTACACTGTAACACTGGATCAGTAACTACCCATGCATGTACGATCAAAATAAATTGAAGGCGACATAATCTATTCCAATTTTAAATAAGTACCGCTTTATTCTTTCTGCTCTAGCTGAGCGAAGATGTTTGTTCTACGTTCAAAATATCACCCGCATGCTCGAAATCTTTGAGAACAAGTCGCCCTATAAAAGCTGCCCGGCAGAGAAAACAATACGAAAAGACACCGTTCATAGCCCACGGCCTTTATTCTCTACGTTCTTAATGTTTTTATCTGTCCATGAACGACGGGGTCATTTTCATATAGTGACAGGACTGGCATATTATCATATGCGTCACCGGAGTGCTGGCAAGCCTTGAACACACTCTATATTCTTTTCGATTCTCATTTTGCTTTGAATCGTCGCTTGTTTTTAAACACCTGCTGTGGAACACACGTTTGGGACTCAAATGTAGCAAACATCATTCACTGATGAAGAAAAATGCGCTAACTAAAGCAATTACACTTTTTGAGTGTTAATCAAGGTACATACAATTCGGTATGACCCAAATAACCAAAGTGTTCCGTGATATTTTCCGATGAAGAGACAACATGCACGTGCGTTTTCCCATAGGAATGCACAGGAGCACCGCAAGAGTAGACTGGTTGCTGTCTGCTTCAATCTGCCTCACGGAAGTCGTAGGGAGGCTGTAGTGAGGGTGAGCGCAACTCAAAACCTGGAGAGCGTTTGCAATTTAATGGCGGCGCCTGAGGGAGAGGATTCGAGAAAGGATATGCGCCAGTGTTGCCTGCACGGGAGCAGGCACCCGCTCTGTTGCAACTTTGTTGCTCCATGCGCCTTTCCTCCTCTCGCCTCCCATTGCAAGCAACGAGCGCCTTGGCGCAGCCTTTCTCGCTTCCTTCTCGCTCCGAGAATTGCAAACGTCGAGCGGAGAAAGCAAAGTTGCCAGACAAGCAGCAACGTCCAAGATGCCGGAATTTACCATTTTTCGCGTTAAAAAAATACTTAACCTATCGCAACAAAACTGGTGGCTATGGAAAAGTAATCATTTATACCTTGTGTAAATTATTCAAGCACCTTAATGGGCTTTTATGACCCGAGTTAGGAAAGAAAACGACTTTTTGCCCCATAGGCTCCGAGCAAAATTTAGCAATTAAATGGCGTCCATGTCCCGTGATCGCCGATCTAGCAGTTGCACCCACCCTCACTTGAGCCTCCCTAGGAAGTCGCATAGACACTAGCGCCAGTTGAACCTGTAGCGTACATTATAATAACACTATGGGCGCGCCCGCCTTCTTTCCCAACTGACCCTAATCTAAAAACATGTAAACTTTAGAATTCATTTTCTCGAAAGAATATGAATATTTTTGGTTTCAAATATGGATATTTTATCTGTGGCACCGTGGCACCGCTCACGCAAGTAGTGCCACAGATACGGCAGATTTTCACGAGGCATCTGGCCACGATGCGTAAGCGGTGGATGTAAAAGCAGACAATCCGATCCAAATCAATCCAAGTCATCGCTGTGATCGCAGTCTCCGACTCTCCGCAGCGGCTGCATAGATGTGGTTGCTACATTTTCGGTTTAGGAGCCGCTGCGAAATTTGAGCGAGTTTCCTCCCAGTCATGAATCGACTAAGGTTCGCTGTCCAAGCCGTCGCCGTCTTCTGGTTCTGCGAGGCTGTCGGCCCAGCGGCCGCGCAAAACTGCAAGCTCGAGGGAGGCTATCGCTACGAGAGCCTGCTGTCGTGAGTCCTCTGTTTACTGGGAACTCGAAATCGTCACGTGAGCGTTGACAGTGTACGACGAACAACAAAAGGGGGATCAGGCCGAAGCGCGCTGTTCGCAGGCCGTTTAAGACGCTCTTCAAAATCCGAGAGGTCGTATTCCGAGGCGGCACCTTGTGGGGGCGGTTTTTTTTACCGATGATTAGATCGCCGCTAGCTGAGCAAGGTCAATGATGACCACAGAAGCACTGTCTGCGATACGTGTTTTCGGAGGGGCAAATTGCCGGAGGTTTGAGTCGCCAGGTTCGGAAAAGGGTCATTGTTTTCTGCACGGCCTTATCGTGCATTCCCACCCTCGGGCTTGGCGCAGATACCGCTTCTTCTGTGGCTGATATGGACCGCTTCGTCGTCTAATAACATGTACAATATATATATATATATTAAACGGAACTTTGAAAAAAAAAAAAAAAATCAAATTCTTATGTTGTCAAATTCAGATTTAATCGATAGAAATAACGAACATGTGTTTCTCTTAACATCGTATATCTACTTTGAGATAAGAAATAAAAGAGAATGGTGGTTGAAATAAGGGTTACTGCGCAGGCAAGCTGGTGAACGATCATAGTGAAAAAAAACCTAAAAAAACCTTGAGTTTAGGAACAACACTGTTGGCAAGTCATTGGGCAGCAAGGCAACTGTTTAGTACACTACCTTCTAAATGTGTGGAGTGGTAGGGTCGAATGATGCGTCTGACTACTTTGGAATATCTTGAAGCTATTTTTTTTTATTGGCATTATCTAGCTTCATGAGTGCCAAATTTTTGAAGAGCAGAAAAAGGCAGTTTTTAGAATTTTCTTGACAGTTTTTATTTCCTCGTTGCTCTTTTCATTGCATTTCATTCTCAAATTGTGCGGTGTTCTATCGCCTTTTATTTTCTTTTGGCTCCAAGCATGCTCCAAAGGTCATCTGGAATTCTCACCCTGTGACCCCAGGCTGGCTTTTTTCTCTTTGTTCTCTCCTCACTGCTGCTTCCCCTGGCAATGACAACCTCACCGTGCGCAATCGACTGAACATATATGAATGTAACAAAAGTCCCGTGATTATTCCACTAAAGCAGGGGTCTCAAACACGTGGGCCGCATGTGGCCCAAGACTCACTGGGACGCAGCCCGCAGGCAACCAGCTACGAGTCCCAGTTCCTATGTCTCGAGCGCAATAAATGGAATCTGCAGTAGTGATCTCATCTCATTGATATATTTTCGCTTAAAAAGTAGCTGCTCTTTTGACGTATTCACATAGTCTATACACTCCGTGCAAAGCGACCGGCGCGTCGCCGCGCGGCCGTTACCGAAGGTAGGCAGTGAGAACTTCAGTGAAATGAAACCACGCCGCGTACATGGGTACGCATTGAAGTTGGAGAGGTGCCGTTGCGCTGGGTTGACAGCATGAACTGCTGCGTCGCTAAGTGCTCCAATATTTATGCGTCATTTCTCGTAGGGATAAAGTTTCACAGTTTTTCAACAAGCCAATGTTTTTTTAAACTGCGAGGACGATGTACCCGTGCCGTACGACGCAATAAATTTGGTCTCCCGATCATGTCTGCCACTGTGTCGGCACGCCTGACATATTCTACACTGCCGCTTTGCGCTCTGCGTTTTTCGTACCAGTAACGCCTACATATGTTAGCGCCGATAGTACGAACTGAAATGCCATTCCACACTCGCGGGTATGCACTGCCAATTTCGTTGGAGGAGTGCCCTCCAAAGAAGTTTCGTCCCCATCGTATGTGTTGATGATATTTCCGGACCAGTGTGTGGTACACAGTCTGTACTTCATAAAGAAAGATTCGGATGGTCCGAAAAGTAAGAAATATGAATGTAAGGAAAACTACAATGAAGCTCGGAAGCAGTGGACAGTCGCCGTTTGAGTATGGAAGTGTATATGGTGTGCTTCCTTTCTTGATCAGCCTCCTTTTGGATGTGGAAATGCTATGTAGTCACCTATTGCAAGTTGTTCGAACTGGAAGTACCGTTCACTGGTCCCTTCCTACCCGTTAAGTGTGCACCTCCCATGATGAGTGGTATTCTCTTGACAACCTTTGACGGTTAAAACCGGTTCCCATTCAGTTATGCCGCTCAAACTAAATTTCCACCTCGTTTCGCTGTGCCACCTCTTTTTGGTATAATAAGTGCTGTGTCAAGTTGCGGTCATATCCAAGTACCTGTGTGCTGAAAATCGGCACCTCGCACAGCCAGGTTATTACACAACAGCTGACCGCAAAAGCCTTTGATGGCCAAACCGTGTGTTGGCTGACAACTTGGTTTTCTCGGCTTTGGAAAGACCTTTCGTAAAGTTGTTTCAATTGGAAGTACAGTCCACTAGTCCCTTCCTAGCTGTTAAATATCCACCTCCCACGACGAGAGGTATTCTCTTGACAGCCCTTTCACGGTCAAAATCTGTTCCCATTGGGCGCGTTCAGTAGCGCCTCCCTTGCCCCCGAACGGAGTGACTGGAGTCGGAGTCATCCGAGCGCCTACTGAACGGCGAAAAAAAACCGCTCCAAACCTGCTTCTACGCATATTCCGCTTCCTCCCCTGTGCCAGGCGGTCTCCGAATAAACTGGAAGCAGACGATGGCGAGCACGATCGCTTTTATTTGACGCCGGTATTGAAGAAGTCTTGACAAGTTCGTTGAAGATAAAGCGAGTGACTGTACAGATCAGCGCTGCTGTTCAAAGTGATGCAACGCGATCGAGCCCTTCGCTTGGCGGTGCAAAGGCAGCTACGACAAAAAACGTCGTCAGCACATGCAAAATACAGAGCTCAGCGAATCTACCCCGCCGGTTGCGATACTTTTATACGGCCATAAGTTTGTTCTGCCCTTCGTAACAAACTTCCTACAAAATGTATTCGTATACACACGGGAAGTTCGGCCGCGCTCGGCGATCAAGGTTTTGTCGGCCGAAGCGAGCCCGATTTAGCTACGCAAACAAAACATTAATCGGTATCATGCTTTGCGTGAGTGTCCAACCGGCTTCCAAAGTCGCGTTCATACCCAATTTTGCTCTGTTGAGCGCGGACAGGACTATCGTCAATATTACCGAGTTTCCGTGCAACGGTGATCAAGACACGGCGTCAAATGAACGTTTGTGTTGTTTATTAGCATATTCAAACCAAACAAAATACTGTCCAATGCATTTTCCGAAAGAGCCTTACCTGCAAAGGTATTCAAACAGGTTATTCGTCTTTGAGCACTTTTCATTAATAAAAGCGAGCAAACCGCGCACCCGCGACAGAACCGAAGCAGCTTATCCCGCCTTATTGTTTTTTTTTTTTCCTCTTTTAGCACCGTAAATCGTCACCAGTCAGGAAATGACGTAATTTTAGCTCCTTTGACTCTACGTGCACCGTCTCCGAACTTGGTGCTTCGGAGCTTGACTCCGGAGCCCCGGAGTTACGTGCACCGGAAGTGACTTTTGGCCGTCCAGTGAAAGGAGTCAGTGACTCCTTGACTCCGGGGCCGCTACTGAACGTGCCCATTCAGTTACGCCGCCCAAACCAAATTTCCACCTGGTTTCCTTATGCCACCTGTTTTTGGTATATAAGTGTTGTGTCAAGTTACGGTCATGTCCAAGAACCTGTGTGTCCAAATCTGCGCTTTAAACAGCCAGGTTATAACACAACGTTTTGGGTCCAATATTGGATATCCCCGTGCAGCTTTATTCCTCTATTCGTTCGAAACATAACTTTCACGCCTGCTGTCTTAAAGGGGCCCTGCAATCATATTTAAGCGTCTACCTTTTATGCGGTTTCCACGTCTCTTGGGGTTCGGGCAAGCCAGCGGGCACGGAAAGAGTAGCTAAATATCAGTGCGCCATATTTTAACCGGACGACACGGAAACCTCCCCCACCGACGAGGGCGACCCACGGTACCGAAAGCGCGCAAAATGTGACGTCTTTGGTCCTGGGCTTACTACTGGTCAGAGCCACTAAAAACTTCTTTTTGGTCGAAATACAAAATATAAGTGGTGCGAACCGTTTCAATTATTTATAAAAATAGTTTTTGTTCACTATTATAGATGAAAAAAAGAAAGAAATGCAGTTTATGAAGTACGGAAACAAGAAATGACCCGTCAACATACCCGCCGCCAAGCGGTGGAAAAGGCGGCGCATACTAGAAAAGAGTAGTGGGATAAGGCGCCGACACGGAAAAATCCCGGATGTACGCGGTGGCGCTGCAGTCGTATGGACAGGAGGATCCGACCGGCTCCGAGCGTTCCGAAGGCCTTCCGCGAGAGGCTTTGTTTTGCGGTTTGGCCGTTTCGCGGTATGGCAGCGCGAAGTGGGCTCCCATTCTGAACTGATCTTTACCCCGTGTTTGCTATCGTTTGTGGCCAATGAAGTGTCATGCCGAATTAGTGTTTAATCGCGCAGCAAACGCAATGAAAGCCGCTTTGGCAGCCCGCTGCATACAGCCTATCCAGAATATGGTTTAGTGGCGCCCTCTGGCGCCGTTGACACGGAGTGCGGCGGCCGTGAGCGATCGATGAGCTCACTATTCCTCGTCTAGTTCACGGCCACTCAAGCCAGGACCTACGACGTCATGAAGGAGGTTATTTTTTGCTTGTTTTTGTAATTCTAAAGTGCCTATAACTTTTAAAATAAAGCGAATTTCGCGAAAAGAAAAGTTTCACTAAGTTACTACGTTCAGTGCGCTCAGGTTCGGTGCAAATTAAAAAACAGTAAAAAGTCCTTGCAGGGCCCCTTTAATGAAACTTGGGCACACTTAGTGCACGAACTTAGTGAAACATCTCTTGCCTCCAAATATCATAGTCTAAGCAGTCCTACTGTTCTAGCGACGAGCGAAAAAAACTTTCCTACTGAGACAGTGGTGAACACACTTTTCTTTAGTGAACATATCACTCACCTCCAAATATCATTGTCCCATTAGTACGTCTTACGTTTACAGCGACGAGCTAAACAAATTTCCCACTGAGAGCAATTATGGTGGTGGCCATCTTGCTTTTCGGAAAATTGCTCAGACACCTTTTTTGACCGCAGCTAGAAAAATTATCCCTATTAACGACTCAAACTCAATATATAAGAAGCGGTGGACAGCTAGATGCTTTTTTTAGGTCTGCCGCAGCATTCGTGCAAGATCACCCTCAACGTATCGGCTCAAAAAGCAAAAGCTTCGTCCGTACGTGCTTCCGCTGCCACAGTTTGGCATGCGAAAAGAAGCCGCAGGCTGCTGAACGCGCCTCACTGTTGGATGCCAGCTCCCCCGCTAGCGGCACTACGCGAGTTTCTTAATGCGCCCCCTATAGTTCCCGCACGAGCGTATACTTATCTCTGTTTATTTGCCCTTTGTTTTGCTTTATTTTTTGCTTCCCAGCTTTTTGTACTATACAACAAGTCTGCTACTAGGCTGCAAGCGCGAGCTATGCATTGAAGGATGCATCTCGGCAGTGCGAACTCTCGATCAACGCGATCAACTTCCAAAGATAAAACCACAAACTCGGAATTCAGGAAAAAAAAAAAAAAAAAGTTAAAAGACAAGTATTTGTTTAGAGTGTTGTAATAAATATTGTCATAAATATTGTCATGAAAGCAAGAACTGTCAAATTAACTTATTGTTTTTTAGAGGCATGTTGAGCTTGATTAACTCCCGAATAGATTGGGCAACAGGAACGACAGTGTACTTGTTTTCTTGTTCTATTAAAATGACAGCACGTTGGCCGAGGTGGTTTCGTTTTAATTCCTGTCACCCCATCAGGTCAGGGCCCAAATTAGTCATAAACAAATCAAATTTAAAGATGTCACTGGGAAAACTGAGTTTACAAAAACCAAAGGGCACGAGGTCTTTTCACTTTAAAATCTTTTGACTCCCCCCTCATCTCACATTGGCCCTCAACCTTTCAGTGTGGGCAATATGGCCCCTACACTCAAATGAGTTTGAGACCACTGCACTAAAGGTTCAAATGTAACTAATAATATTTTTAAATACATAAAATAAATATGCACGGGGTATCCCTAGAATTAATTAACAGTATTTTTCTTACCGAGAAAATAAACTATACATTGCCAAACGCTCATTCTCCTCTCAAATGTAGCGCTAGCAGTTTGAACTAGATCGCAAATTTTCAGTACTATCCGTTAACATTGTAAAAAGTGGTGATTTTCTTGAAGATTTTAAAGGGAAAATGGCAGTCGATGGGGCCTTCAAATACGTGAAGCAAATGACACCAATTACCAAGAACGGACCCTATTTTCCCCTGGAAATTTTGAGAAAACCACTTGTAACTTTCTAAAAAGATAACAATTTGTTATTAAACGTTGGCATATGGGTCGAACTGTTAGCGCTGCGTTTGGGCGGAGGGTGAGCGGTGATGCGTCATATATTTTTGTGGCGAACAAAAGCCCAGAAACTTTTTTTTAAGGGGGGGGGACACTGTGTTCACCTTTTTGCTAGTGCGTGGTATTTGTGAACATTCTTACCTTCCTCGAATTGAACCCCCCCCACGTCCAAGGACGTCCTGCAGCGAACAAAGTCTGAGCGTAAGAGCCTCTCCACATCTGCTTTCTTCAGCGCCGTCTGGTATGCGGAGCCAGACAAGGACAAATGTGAAGTGAAGAGCAACACTGGGGGCTGCTCCTGGTACCTGCAGTTCTGCAACAACCTCAAAGTGAACCCGTGCGGACCCAACACTGCTTGCGAGGTTGGCAGCACGCTGCATGACCCTCAGACCCTCGGTACCTTCAAGAACCTAACCTCCAACGGTGAGTTCCCTGCCGTCGTTTTGTTCGGGGTGGTGTTCCTGGACCCAAACTGGTGGGTGGATTGCCTCCCCTTTCTCACGATTCTCCCTTGTAGTTGGGCGGCATTTTACCGCTTATCGGTAGGCGCGTCGGCGAGGGAGAAGGCCCGATTTTAAAAGGACCGTGAAACTACTTCTTCACTTTAGCTAATCCAGGCTAGGGTTTCATTTTTTCTCCACCGACATTGCCTCCATGTTGAAATGTGCTAAAGACAGAGTTGTTTCTCGCTGCCTGAAAATTGGTAATAATATTAATGAGGTGTTTTTAAGAAAGACGCACACAACATCAAACTCGTTGAGCTCTCTGAAAATAACGCCGTGGGGTCCAAAAGCCTAAAAAAAATAAACCGTTGCGTAACAGTGAAACAGTTCTTGATGTAGCCGTCCTCCCAGGAATTAGCGACCACAACATAGTCCCTGCTAGCTTGACGTTCCCTCAGCTTCTTCTTGCCCAGGGTACTGACAGGAAAGCCTATATGTACAATATAGGGAAAGGGCTGTCTGAATCTTTCGAGCGTTTCGCTTTAGAAAATGGTGTAGACGCTATATGGGAATTCTTCAAAAATTGTTTGTCAAAATTAATGGACAAATATGTTCCCATTAAACATATGGACTTTTTTCACAAGGGCACCGCCATCTTGAAATATCGTCACTTCCGGTATGGGCAAAAACAATGTTTTGCCGTCGCCACGCCGATAGAATGCGTTTAGGAGATAAGCGCAACCGTCGCCCATTCTGGTTTTGTCTCCCCTCTATTTTTTTACTATTTGCAGGTTGAAACATTTTAACATTTTTTTGTCGCCCATACCGGATATGCCTACTTGGCGGCCGGGGGCGAGAGTAAGCTTTTATAGCTTTTTATAGCAATGTTACGAGACATTTCAATACAAAGAGTTATTCTACTCAACATGGTTTTAGAAAGGGCCTCTCATGCGCCACGCAGCTTCCAGAACTTTATCGTGACTTTGTTTTAACGGCTGAGGGGGGAAGAGAAACGCACGCCATCTTTCTTGATTTAAGCGAGGCTTTCGATAAAGTGTCTTACCCTTTGCTGCTACACAAACTGAGCTCCCTTAGCCTCGATGGAAACGTATACCGTTGGACAGAAAATTACCTCTCTGGGAGAAAGCAGGGTCGTCAATGGTGCAAGCTCAGACTTTGTTGATCTGACTTCTGGTGTGCGGCAGGGGTCAGTGCTTTTATTTCTCGCATTTATTAATGATATACCATCGACTATTAACTCGTCCATAAAGCTGTTTGAGGACGATTGTGTTTTCTATAGCAAGGTTGACAGTGCTAGTGAATCGGCTTTTTTACGGTTGGATCTGGATGGAATGTTGGATTGGTGCAGGATTTGGGAGTTGGGCTTAAATGTGGATGAGTCTGTGCGAGTCACTTTTGGGAGGAAACGTAACCGTGTCCCATTGTGTTATTTTATTGGTCATCATAAACTAAGTAATAACACTGATATTAAATATTTGGGGACCACCTTGGCAAGCACACTTTGTTTTAATGTTCGTGTCACTGAAACTCTTAAAGTGTCACTGAAACTCCTGCCATAATGCCGAAGTTCCAACGCTGCAGGTTTTCTTTTGTAAATAAAAAAAAATAAATTATAATGTAGAAAACACGGGGGTGATTATCTACGAATACGATAGCATTCATCGTTGCACACACAAGCAGGTTAAGGGGAAACTGAATCGGTGCATAGGTCACGTGACATCTGTTTTCCACGATATTTAGCGGGGAACCTGAATACATGGCCAGGAAATGAGATCCCCATATAGCTGAAAATCTGTAGTTGTAGCTTAATAATCCTATGACATAAACACTGGTCACTATCCAGATCGATGTGCAGTTCTGCATAGTACTGCCACGGGTTTCGGAAAAGCTTAGATTAAGTTCCATACCTTCCTCCATTTTATGCTGCGTTCACACTCGGGCCGAGACTGCAGCGAACCTGCAGGCACGAAAGTGCAAGACGGAGGCTTTCAAACGTTCTTCAGCGAGACAAGCACTTGCGCTAGAGAGGCACGTCACGAAGCGAGAAGTGGGGGCTTCCTCGCGCTTGTAACCTTGGCTGCCGTCTTGGCTTCAAGCTGAGCAGAATACGGTCCCTCGAAAATTGAAAGGGCGCAAAGGACGAGAGATTGGATGAAGAAGGACATACACGGCGTTGCGTCTGCGTCTTTCTTCATCCGGTCTCTTGTCCTTTGCACCGGAGTGTGTCATACCAACTCGCCCAAACTTCAACTTTAGCGTAAGTTCCCTCGTGCAGCCTCATTAATTAAATAGTATGTGCACGCATCGTGGCCCAAATGCTCGGTGCTTGATGCGATTGGTGTTCTGTTTTTCCTTCTCATGCTTCCATGCAGTCTGGTAAGTGGCCACTTGGCAATGTTTTCACTCGGGTGTCCAACCGAACCCTCGGGTTGGGACGCACGTGGAAGAAAGGGGGGTCCAAGTGGTGTTCTGACCTCTGGGTGGGGCTTTCCGTCCGATCGGAAAGGCATCGGAGATATCAAGGGCAGTCGCACCACTTGGATCAAGCAGATCGCTGTCTGCGGTTTTCTGTTTCTTTTTTTCCGCTCGAGAGTAGAAATAGGTTGAGGACGCACTGAATGCAATGAAGGAGTACCTTATGATTCCTCTAATAATGTTGTAGAAGCGATGTAATGCTTGTGTGAGCTATATCCGTGTGGTGTGGTTTCGGAGCACACACATAGCGAGATTCTAAGCGGGTGCGTAAAGTAACTACGCAATCGAAAGTATATTTAGGTTGCTGTAGTTTGTCATTTCGGTTTTATGACTGAATACTTCCTAAGTAGAAACATAGTTTCAATAACTGTAACTCAGTGGTTACATATCTGAGTAGCTTGTAACATAGCTCAGTTACAAATTTAAAGAAAGAAAAATTTTTTTTTAATACTTTAAGGACTTGAAAGCGTTACAGAGGAGGGGTGCCAAGAACAAAAACAAATTACAGGCTACAAACGAGTCTCGTACGAAAGTGCAGTAAAAACATGAGCGGTTAAGCACAAAAGAATTCCTAGATTTTTTTTCTCAACATCAGCACTACGGGCAAATGCCTCAAACTTCACCGTAAGTCGGCGCTCAGCTGTGGCAAAATTGCAGCATACCCGAATATTGTGGAATTTTTAGAAATCGTCGCGACATGAGTAAATTATTTTTTGTGAGTGACTGTACTGCAACTACGACACATTTGTAAAATGTAACTGTATTTGAGACATTTTCAGCGCCATCATCCGTCACTCGTTGCTAATTCCATAAAATATGTGTACCGGCATGAATGCTGGTGCTGCGCAGGTTACGACAGCTTCGTGGCCCACTTTGAATCCGAACCCAATCGCAACGTCAGTGTGACCAAGTGCCAGGGGATCCTCAAGACCAACCTGGTGTTCAAGTGCGATGCCGCCAAGGGCATCTCCATCGGCAACGACACCCTGCTGGCGAAACTGCCGTTCGACAACGTCAAGAGCAGCGACGACTGCGAGGTAGCTTTTTTTTTTTTTTACATATTTGAACGTCTGCCCAGTTTGGCTGTTCCTGGTGCCTAGGCTAGCATCTCAGCTTGGTGAAGTGGTCAGGATGAATTCGTTCGAGCTAGCAAACTTTCTGAAGCAACGCGCGAAGCTTCGCTTCAAAATCGCCTTCTGAAGCCGAAAGTTCTGCCAATCTCGGATTAGTGTCGCTTAACCCTCGCACAGTCGGGCATTTCCTTCAGAATATGTTTCCCAGAAGTTTGGTTTTATTTTTAAAAAAAATGGCACAAAAAAAAAAAAAGTGTGGGCTTTTGTTTTTTAAGGATATTTAGCGGGAACACGTTCAATAGTTGCAAGCTGTTCAGGTTTAGGAGCTTTGAACGGGAATAGTAAGGGTGAGAAGTTGTGTCGCCTTTTTTCCATTCGGTTTAATTTTGGCGCGTCCGCTTCCTCAACGTTCCGGAGGTCTCGGCTTCCAAACCTGAAGTACTTTACGAAACTTCTCGGTCGGTCGATGATGCCTTACTCTCTGAATTGAATTGCGACGAGCGTTAAGTCAGAGTCGGAAGAACCAGTGCTCCAGTTCCTCCTCAATGGAGAAGGTGCGTGGGCACCTGGGGGCCCCCCACAGGGTATTTGGGGATGTTGAGGTACCCTAAGGCCTCGTAAGAAGAACAGTCTGGAGACACTGAGGCACGTTTCTTGCTTGCATGACAATGGGGACACGTCCAAAGCACATGTGCACAAGGAGCATGTTTCCAGATGCTCGAGGTATGTTTTTATTGCATCATGCCTGCAGCGAATACTGTACGATGTACAAGCGGTCTGACTGGGGCTTTCTTCTTACTCGTGACTAGCATGATCCAACGTGAACGACGAGCTTGACAAAATGTGTAACAAGCACGGTGGAAGCTCCATGCCGTCGCGTTATTGAAACCATTGCCATCAAAGTTCACAGTATGACGTCGCCCTTATTTCCTTTGGAGAAGCGGAATAACACGAGGTTTCTACAAACCTGGAAAACCTAGAGTTCTCCAGGAAATCTTTGAAAAATTAGTTCGGAGAAAATTGGCGACGTCTGCGGCGCAGAGACGTGCAGCGAAGTGGGAGGGTGTGGCATGCAATGGCATGGCCAGCCGTTGCACCGAGCGACAGTTTCCCTAGGCACCGCTGCGCGGCGCAAACTGTCGCCCGATTTGCCTGATTATATGGGAATGGCTGCTGCAACCTCATCTTCTGCATTTCCTTTTGTCGTAAGGATTGGAAAATTCGATCGGAATAGCCTGGGAAAACCGGGAAAAGTTGGGGTATTTGAAGCGCACAATCCAGTAGACACCCCGATAAAACGACCAAAGGACCGCGATCCTACTAAAGCATTATAGTGCTTGAGTGGCCAGTCGTGGTTACTCCCATCTAAAAAAAAAATTGCCTACTTTCTCCCCACCTCCTGCCCTGGGAAAAAAAAGTTCTTGGAGATTGCACGTACCACTTGCATTCTTTTTTATAACGCGAGCATAGTTTCAAGGCGGCCGTGTTCGAGCGGTTGACGTGACGACCGACAACGCGGCATGCACGTACGCACGCTTCCGGGGTATTTGGGAGACGCACGACGGTGCTTGCGGGGCAAACTTCTAGTTGCATTGTCACGTCTCCTGCAAGAGCGACGTTCACTTCTCCAATGCTCTGATTTAAGACCGTCTGGACACTCTGCTCCGCAAGCGGAGCATAAACGGTTGCTCCACCCTCCCCTCGCAGCGCAACCTGACGGTGCCCTTCAGCGGGGCCTGCGGCACCAAGCCAGCCACAGCCTCTGCCGGACTCAGCGCCGGCTCCGTCCTGCTCATCCTGTGAGTTCTGCCACTCCACGCCGGTTCGCCCGCAAATGCGGCTGGCTGCTCTTGCCGGCGGGTACGAGGCATTCCCCTAGGCTGCAAGATACCCACGTACATGTTAGAGGGTGTTACAACTGCCGCCGGGACTCTACTGTAAATTCACGCAAGACTGCCAGATCTTTTTTTTTTTTTTTTTTTTTTTTTCGCGTCATTGTTTTATTTTGGAGAAGGCCATTTTTTTTTACGACCATCCGGTTCGAACGACGGTGGGTTCAAATTCCTGGGAGATTAATAGGTTGTATTCACTGGCAGTCATAGCAGCGCTCGCTGCTGCTTTCAAACCACCGGGGAAGAGAGAGAGGGGAAAGCTGCTTTTGTACGAATTTTGAGTGAAAGTTAACCTTCCATAATCTGGGACGTACAAGGGAAAGTCCCGGTGAGAAGAGTTTCTTCTTCCCTTCTTCTCTTGTGATTGCCCGAGAGCTGACGGGAAACTCTACCCAAGCATTCGCTGTGAGCAGTTGCTTCAAATATGGCATCCGGTGAATACCACCTACCGCATTTACTCGAATCTAACGCGCACCTTTTTTCCGGGAAAATAGGTCCAAAAATCCTATGCGCGCTGCAATCGAGTGCGACCCAAAACTGCACTACCGTATCGCCATCGACATTTCAGAATGGTCTCTCCATTACGCGCTGAGAGGCTGAGAGGCTTCGAGCGTAGCCAGCTCGTGTCTTTCTTGCGTTTGTATGAGCTTGGAAGTTCCCACTGCAAAGACACGCCGCGTTCACCATGATGCTGGATTCAAAAGAAAAGTGATATTGTGCGCGGAGAGCGATGGAGATCGGGCCGCATCACGTGCAATGGGCGATAGGTGCGTGGTGCACGATCCCGTCTGCCATGGTTATCAAGGCCTTCAAGAAGTGCGGAATTTCTATTGCTATGGACGGCACCGAAGATGAAATGCTTTGGGCCGCTGACACTGATAAGGAGTCGTCCGACAACGATGACGAGTGATGCATACCGCACCACGGGCTCTGCATCGGACCGTCGTCCCGATGACGACCTTGCCGGCGTGAGACAGCGCTGTTCATTTCATTGCAAGATAGAAGCATTTAGAATAAACCTTCGTTGCTCCAAATGAGAAAAAGTTTCATTTCTGTATCCAACCTACAAAATCTGGTGCGCGTAACAATGGAGGTCATCGCATATTTTTTTTTTTTTTTTCGGACCTCGAAAAATGGGTGCGCATTACAATCGAGGGCGCGTTAGATTCGAGTAAATACGTATGCAGGAAACTCGGGAGTAAAATAGGAGACGGAAGTAGAAAGCGATCCTGGCGTGGGGGGAGTGGATCCACTAACTATTTTCACTGGAAATGCAGCAAGTGGGTCTGACTCGGCACAGAAATCGATAATCTATGCAATATTCCTTTTCTCGATGGAGCGTGCAATGCATGAGCTCGTAATATTGGACGTATTTTGATGTCAAAATGCAGCACGTCTTGTATAGACCTTTGAGGAATTGCAAAGGGATTTTGGTACTGTCTAAATAATTATTTACCTCTTCTGAGCTCATTGACTTACCGTAAAATACCGAGCAAGCGCCCACTAAAATTTTGAAGAGAATCGCAAAAAAAATAGGGGATGGGCGCATGTGAGGTCATAAATTTTACGTATAATATACGTGCTGCGCATATTTTTTCGGATGCTTCAGATGTTGGGTGTGGGCGCTTAGTGCGGAATGGGCGGATGGATGGTATTCTAGGGGTTTGTTTTATTTCTACCGAGAAATGTCTTGTTAGATGTCATTGTCTTCGAGTACCATAATGCACAATATGCATCAATCTTGAAATGGTTTTAAATGACTAGAAGTGATTACTATTTACAATTATCAGAATTTTTTTTGTTTGTTTACACGTATGAACGGCTTCAAGTAGCTTTTGTTTGCTGTTAGCATCTTTGACCACATTGCCCTCTGAAGGGCCCACAACGACTTTTTGCTGTTTTTTTAATTTGCACCGAACCTGTGCGCACTGAAAGTAGTAACTTGGTAAACTTTTTCTTTTCTCGAAGTTAACTTTTTTAAAAAGATATAGGCATACTACAATTACAAAAACGAGCGAGAAATAACCCCCTTCATGGCGTCCTTGGTCCTCTGTCCCCCCTTTTCCCGTGCCCGCAGACCGCAGTGACTGAGGAATGTGGGGAGGGAGGGAAAGGAGGTGAGGCCGAGGAGAGGGCTGCCCAGGAACGGGGCAGCTCTCTCTCTCCTCGGTTGACCAGGACCAACAACGTCACGATTTCGTCGCATGCGGAGTGCGTTCGACACCACGGGGCGCCCCCGTAGGAGGAGGAGGTTTGCGTGTCGTTCGGTTAAAATGTGATGCTCTGATATTTAGTTACTCTCTCCGTGCCCGCTGGCTTGCCTGAACCACAAGAGGTGTGGAAACCGCAAAAAAGGTAGACTCTTAAAGGGCAACTCTGCTCAATTCCGAAAAATTTAGGCTTCCATGTGATTCACATTCACAAAGCACTACTAAACAACTCTACGTCTTCGGATTCGCGAAATGTGGAATATTATTTGTGTAATCTTAATTTAAACATCAGCAGATACCGAAACCGAAACTTCGGTTGCGTCAGGCAACATCGGTCTCGGGTCGTCAGAGGCATGGCACGTCACGTCGAACCACGTGGTCTTGTGACGTTCGGGAGGGAGCGAGAAACAGGACACGCGACGCGGGCAGGTTCTTTTTTTTTTTTTATTGGACGCGGGCAGGTCGCTTTGCGTGGCGTGTACGGTGATTGCCTGGGGGAGAAAGGGAAGGGGAGAAGACGAAAGAGAAGGGGAGCGGAGAAACAGACCGGTAAGCGCGCAGGGCAGCGCAAAGTAGCGCATCCGTGTTACGGTGATCACGTGAACGCCCGGTCAGCCAACACCGGGAGGAGAAACTCATGACGTCATCGTTCGATTGCGCTCTGAGAAGTAAAAACAAGCAAAACGTGAGAATGACGTATCATGCCTCTGACGTAGTGGCTCAACGTTGGCCGCTCCAACTCCGTGGCATTGACTGCGCTGATGATTGCGCCTCGCGCCGCACGCTAGAGTTGGCAGATTTCGGCGACTTGGCTCGCTTGAAGGTTTGCTGGCCAGTTTATTAAATAAATAAACGGAATTAGATCGTAATATTTGACGTGGGGTCTTCCTATAGGATACTGAAGAGGGCTAGATAGTTTTCTAAATATCAAAAATGAAGCGGAGTTGCCCTTTAAATAAGATTGCAGGGTGCCTTTAAATGGCTGCCAATGGATATTAATGAGATAACTAACGATTATCTATTTCGGCGTTGGTGAATGATGGGCTCCAACTGGTTATTGTCGGATATCAGCCTCAAGTTTTAATGCGGAAGCATTACCTGGTCCTACGGAGCGAGCCGACGTCATCAGCTTTGAAGCTGCGCCAAACGGCACCTTAAACCCTTTCTTCAAGTGAAGCCAGCTCCCAGCTATGAAACCACGCGAAAAGCTCGGCCAAACGGCACCTAGTTTCCCCGAACCCAAAGGAGCGGAGTAAAGCTGATGGATTTCGGCTTCGGTCCCACTGGGTGGCGCGGGTCGACGAGGCTCCCATTGGCCGCTGCGCTCATCAGTTTCAACGACCGCCACCCCATGGCGCTGCATGTCCGCGAGGCAGCGGCTCCACCGCTCCACGCCCAAGGTCAGCGCACCGAGTGTGTGTGTAAGCGTTGGAAAAAGAAATAAGGGAAAAATGAGAGAAGGACAGCGCGCACGCTCGACCGTCGACGCAAGTACGCCGTAGATGAAAGAAGGGAGCGGAAGAGCGGCGTGCATGCTTTCGCATTCACAACTCGTAAGAAGTGCTCAGGTGTACCTCGAGCCTTTTTATATATTTGCTTGATATTAATAATTAGTATTGAAAACATTGTGCTATTTCTGTTTATGAACTGGAACAGCTTCAGGTGGCTATCATTGACTATTAGAATTTGACTAAATTGCCTTTATTACTAATGGCTATTAGAGTCAAACCCGTTTATAACAAACAACAGGAAATGCTACGATCAGTTCGATATAGCAAGTAATTCGATATAACAAAAACCATTTACAACAAACTTCCACGGTGCGTTCGTTGTAAGGCAAGAGCTTCTCTTTCTTTCTCTTCTCTTCGCTTCCGCCTTGTAACAAAGCGCTGGAAAATTTTTTTGTTTTTTATGTTTTGCATGCATGCAGTTTTTTTCTTTTAGCTTATCTCCCCTTCTGAATCGTTTTTCTTCACTCAATTTCGTTCGCAACTTGAGCTTTTGGAATTTTCTCTCTTTCCTACTTCTTTTTGGGGAAAGGGACAGGCTAGAAGAGGATTCTTTGCGCATTTTTGGAAGCCTTTCCGAGGGAAAAAAATTTGCTATAGCCAATATGGTGTTCGTTATAAAAAGTACTTTTTACATGCATTTTTATTTAAATTTTTTGTGAGTTTGATATCGACAATAATTCGCTGTACGTGGGTTCATTCTAAACTGGTTTCACTGTAGTCACTATAATCGCAACTATCTCCTTTTTAAGTGTTATGAATAAAAATGCCTTCAAGTGGCTAACTATTGATAATTATGATTTAGTTAATTTTATTTGTACGAAATGGAATGGCTTCAACTGGGTATTGTTGACCAGACTTACTTCAAATGTCTACTGATGGCTTAGGCTGAGATAATTGGCAATTCTGCATATTTCAGTGCTTAAAATGAGTATGGCTCAAGCGGCTGTTATTGGCTATAGGCATCCAATGTTAGATAAATTTGATTGAAATGGCTATTAGTGACTAGTGTTGATAGTTATGAATGATTTTTGTGTTTACTAACTGGAATGGCTTCAAGTGGTTATTGTTGGATATTAGCATCCATTTCTGACTAGGGATGTCACAAACTTTTGTCAAACTGGATTTTTAGGTCAAACTTTCGGGGTTCGACTGGTTCAACGAACCTACAAACTTTTAACCAGATTCGACTAGGGATGTCGCGAACTGGTCGAGGTTCAAGTTCGACCAGGTTCGACTTTTTTGAACTTCTTGTGAAAAGTTTGACAAAGGTTCGACTGCTATGCGCATGCACGACGGGCTTTCCAGCTGGCTTCGGATTGGATGGTGATTGCTAAGAGATGAATTAAGGGCAGCCCTGATTGGTTATTTCAGTTAATACAGTACAAAAAATTAAGTTATTAACTTCTTAACTTAAATAACGCCTCTTCTTTCTAATCATTAAAATTCCGGTTTCTGGTGTTAGGACACGCACAAACGTTTAGGAAGATGGGAATAGTTAGGAATCTCAGATGTGCTTTATCGAGCATGATGCGTTTAGTTTTATGCAAAAAACATAAGAATCGTTCGTGAAATAACGCTAATTGAAAAAGCACTATTATTTTGTTTTGGCAGAGACTACTTGTGAGGCAAAAACAGGATTGTTATAATTGCGAGGAGTGCTTTAAAGTGCACTGTCAGTGAATGTTTCAACTACCTCGTTGCATCACTGGAAAGGTCAAATGGAAATTACGTTATCCAAAATGGACCGCATCATTTGCCACTTGCGCAGTGGGCTGCGCCAATGCCAAGTCGATCTTCTGTTTTCAAGGCAGAAAATATTGAAGAGAACCACACTCGCTCGCCAACTCAGTTACTGTGTTGCCTACTCCACACCTCGCCGTAATCGCTGGTTATACTACACTGTCCGATAATAACCGCACCACTGCACGGCGTCCATTTGCAATCCATGGCCCCATCGCGTTCTCGCACGTGCGCAGACATTTGCCGAACTTTTCTTCAAAAGTTCGGCATGTGCCGAACTTTGTCGAATCTCAAGTTCAGCAGATTCGGTCCATCACTAGCAGTAATAGCCAATTAAAGCCAACCAGGTCAATAGATGCATATAGCCAATAATAGTCAGTTGAAGTCAATCAAATCTATGAACACACCAATTGCACAAAATATCAATAATAGACACTGAGAGTTGTGTATAGCCACTTCAAGACAATCTGCCCAAGAACATATTCCAATAGTCAATAATAGTTAATCTCACCCCTGAAATACCAATGCCTCAGAGGTGGGAATAATAGTTGCTAATTGTTATTTATTGCCAAGTGTCAAGAATAGGTCCCAAAAATAATATGAGCCACTTGAAGCCCATCTCTGCCATAAAAACACGAATAACACAATATACCGCTATTACTCGCATAATGAACGCGCCCCGCACCGGGTACCAACACTTGTTACTTTTTTCCCTCGCGTAATGAATGCACTTTCAATTTTCGGCTCCGCGAGTCTCGAATTGCGTCCAAGTTAGCTAGCCACTAAGCCGACCAAGCCAATTTTCTCTTGCTGCCAAGCGGTCAGGCCAAGTCACGCCAAGCCGCTCTTGTAATGGCTGCAGGTGCATAGTTGCGGAATTGATCAGCCATGAAACCGAGCAGCGTGCACACTGGACGAAGCTTGGGCCGAGGAATTGCCCAGTGCCGGACATCCTTCGCCTATCGGATGCATTGATATTAACAACCACTCTGTCGTCTGTGATGCGCCTTCGGATAGTGAAATCGTGAAAGTGGTTAGGCCTAAGAACGGTCTCGTTGCTCTCCTTGTCGAGTGAGCTTCGTAGGGCGCTTTTCCCTTGGCAAAAGGCACACCAAAAGTATCCTAAAAAGGTTTGCAATTTATAAAGCGTGGTTGCTGTGGTGCGCCCCCGACCAGCCTTGGGTGCGCCTTCATCAGTGGAGACGCGCCACACTACCTTGCCGTGTCATATTGGCACCTTATGACATTTCCACGAAGTGTGTAAATGGAAAAATTTTACCCCGCGTAATGAATGCACCCCCCAAATATGTGTCAATTTTTTTGAGAAAACAGTGTGTTCATTATGCGAGTAAATGCGGTAGTTAACATTTAGCTAATATTAATGACTTGAAGGTGACCTAACAGATAAATAGTAAAATAACTACAAGTAATTATTAATAGCCTGAAATTGGCCTTTAACTACACAGTGTCCAAATGCAAACAAGTTTACTGACTTGCATATAAACTTTCTGGAACACATAAATGAATACAAAAGTGCCATAACCAAGTGTTTCTCAGTTTCAATCGGTACCTATGTATTCTTTAACGGTAGTGTAAGGGGGAAGACAGTGGAGCACATGACTGATATCAGTTTTCTGTACCGAGTTGACCACTCCTCGCCAAGAGATGGCACCACTTCTGTGTTTCCTGTCAACCCCGTGTATTTCTAGTTATTAGTCCGAACAATACTTGGTGGGTTCCTGGTCTTGCCCCGTGGGCAGAGGTAGTGACCCCCTGTGTGCCTTGCAGGTTCTTTGTGGGGGTGCTGCTCTACCTGGTGGGGGGCGTGATCCTCAAGCACAACAGCGGGGCCCGCGGCTGGGAGATGCTGCCCCACCAGCAGTTCTGGAGCGAGCTGCCCTCCCTGATTGTGGTCTGTTTCTTCTTGGTCGAGGAGTGTGCGCTGGGCATCTGCCCGCCACGCTGCGCCCCCTAGGGGCATGCCCTTCTTGCCACAAGTTTCCTTCCTTCCCATCCTAGTTTTCCGCCAGCCTTTTTCGGCTCCCAACCTAGCTGCGTCGGAATTTGGCAGCGCATTAAACAATCCACAAAGATAGCTTTGGTAGGCAATGCAATTGTCCTCCTTGAGGGCGCCGATGCACCTTGCCTTTGCATCGAAGGCGTTGCGTGCAAAGCGGCGTTAGAGACCGTGCTAGTCACAAACGCTTGTGCGGCTGTGCCCGTTCCGTCGGATGCCCTCGAGCGAGCGAGCAATGATGCGGGTGGGGATTAAATACGCGTCAGTCGTAGCCGCCCCCTAAACGGACGAGAAATGAACATATGTGCCGGGGGTTCCTAGAAGATGGGCCCGGGGAACTCTGGAGAGGATCACCGACCAGAGCGAGAGGTATGGATGCTTGATTGAAACCTCTCTCCAACCGTGTGCCGCAAGCCATTCCGGGGTAGCTTGGTCCATGATTCGAAGAAAGACCGGCGGGGGTACGGACCGCGATAAAAGTGGCGGCCAAGTCGGTTTGTTTTGCCCCAACATGGAGCGTGTTTAGTGTGCGGCGAGGACAAATATTTTGTTTAGAGTGTGTGGCACAAGAAGTGGTGTCCATAGGCATCGGTACCTACGATGGACAAGCCCTACAGCTCGCTTTAAAACCTGCTCTAGGATTCCCGGTGTTATCGATATACCAATGTTGACTGGACGCGGAATATCGGAAACGATGCGGCATGTGTATTTTTCCGCATTAATGACTTCGAAATGATGGCCGCCTCTTTCTTTTTACTTGCAGTTTTTTTTTGTTTCTCGCACAAGACTGTACCAATTTTATGTAATTTTTCTTTTACCAGGTTTTTAGCGTAGCAGTTTGTGGGTGTCATTGTCTCATTGTTAAAGCAAGCCACTGGCTTGCTGGCCTGTGTGAGGTGGGAAGTGCCATTGTCTGTGCAGTGGCTCAGTTCACTTCCCCACAGCTGGATGTGGAGGTTTGTTCTCGCTGCTGATTTGAGTAGTGTGCCGGCCAGGTAACGAAAAGGGAATTGGGAAAAGGCCGAGGAAACTCTGTCACTAGTCATCTGTGTTCTAGATCTTGAAAAAGAAGTGGCGCCAAGCTACTGGCATAGTATACTATTTATTTACGTTGTATAGCATATTGAGTGATTTTTCTTTCTTGCCACTTTTCTATCCTCTCCTTGAATGTTAATTTCTTTGGGTAACCGCGTAAAACTCCAGTTATTTCTGAAGATTTGACTAGGGAATTTTATATTTAGTGTCTACAACTGTTCGGTACATACATTTGTTTTAGCTTTGGGTATTAGTAGTTTCTATTTTAATCTTTGTTATGTGCTCGGTAATTCTAAACAATGTATTTATTTTTATTGTGGCTCAGCGTCTGCAGCACTTGGACCTTGGAAGTCTACTAACTGCAGCTAGCATCTGCTTTTGCCTGCAAAATGTTTGCGGGGCAAAAAGGAAAACTGTGTGGCTTCTCCTGCCTGTCAGATCTACAGTAGGATTGATGCATTGGTGAAGGGCAGATTTTGTGCAGAACTTGAAAGAGCTGCTACATCAAAAGCCTTTTCAAATGTGGCGGAAAAAAATGGAGGCCAGGTGTGCCGACTCCGAAAACCATCATCCTATAGATCCTTCTCGTCGACTGATATTTTACCTTGTCATGTAAACTGCCATTTTAGGTACGATCTTATATTTGGTCCATTGGATCTCATATGTGTCCTTGTCCACAGAGTTCCGCGTGTGTGTTGCATTTCTTTTGGTTTGCGATTTTGGGAACTGTTTGTATATAGTACATGTGAAGCTTACCAAGTCACGCTATATTGCTAGGTTTAACGTTTATGCTAGTTGCATCCAGTAACACTAGGAATGTAGCGATTCAGTTGTGCAAAATAAAGTGAGCCGTTTCAATGCGAGGAAAAATGTGACTGTTTGCTCAGATCTTGTTTTGTATTTGAACCACATCCCATCTGGATGGAGCGCCTGCTCGTGCCACTGTTTCTCGCCACTGCCCTCACAAACTTGCCCTTTGTCCGAGACAGCAACGCTCGATTAAAATTGGGCACAAAATCTGGCAAAAGGGTAGTTTTCTCCGTTGACACGAAGTGGTTATGGAATCAAACATTCGGAAGGCGTGAGTCGGGTACGGTACTTTTCGTGGGAACGTGAAAGGTGCAGCGAGCATTAGCAGCTTGACGCTTGTGCACATCTGTTTCGGGAGGTTTGAAATGGTGTTAATTTAGCGACCTTTGACTTGGCTTGGGCGCAGCTGGGATTTATGCTTGCGGCAGCCAGTCGTTCTCGGCGGGTGGCCGTGGTGACTGACGGGTGGTGCCCCCTGTCTTGCAGGAGGGCTGCGTCTACTTTGTCAAGCTGGTCACCTGCCAGGCCACTTCGGGCGCCGGAGCCAATAGGAGCTACGACGACATCTAAGACTCTTCGAGATCCTAGACCTTTTTTCAAATTGGCCGCGACGAGATTCCGCAGAACTTTCCGAGAGCAACGGTGCCTTCGTTCAATGGATGAAATCGTTTGTTTTTCAACTTTTTAACGATCCTGAGTGTTACGTTAGTCGTTGTAATCTACGTCTTTTTCGGTAATCCTTCTTAAGCTTCGTGGTTGGCTTTGCACCGACGCAACAGGGGTACTCTGTTTAGACAACAGTTGCAGATTACAAATAAATAGCACGAAGGTCAAGTAAACACTGATGGAACAAGCGCCAACTAACAACTGTCGTTTTATTACCACTTTGAATACTATAGTAATATTATTTTTTAATACTACGGTATTAAAACGACAGTTGCGAGTTAGCGCTTGTTCCGTCAGTGTACACTTGACCTTTGTGCTATTTATTTGTATCCAAATAGCCTACCTTAATATTTTAGGACAGCAGTTGTATCCGGTTATCGGTGCGGTGCTTGAAGAGACTGCGCGTTCACTCGCTCCTTGTGCATGCTATTGTTTTTGTTGAATGACTGGTGCCACCTTTGCCTAGAGTTACAGTATTTGGTTGTTTGTAAGAGAGCTTTACCTCCGCTGCGGTCAATTCTGAGAAGGGCACGCGGTGAAGCAATAATAAAATATGCTATTGTTACAGATTATGGGGGTCTGGTTGAATTTGCTTTCGGTAATATTTACTCCAGCTCCTACAGTAAGCTGCACAGTGCTGGAAGTGCTGCGCTGAATTGAACCATGAATGGAAGTCCTCTACATCTTGTTCAAACTCCATTTTTGCTAAGAATTGCGCCACACCTGTGCCAAGATTGGCATAGATGATTTTATTATTTTTCTTATTTTACTATTTTTCGGACAAGTAGAAGGAAGGGAAAATGGTACGAACATGGGTAATTCACATCGTCGGAGCTGATGAGATGCGAGCAGAAGACACGCTATGTCAAAGCACGGAGTGTTTATAGAAGTGTGCATCTATGCCGATTAAAAACGGGTGATTTACTAAAGAAACGTGTACAACGTTTTTGTGAGTGATCTTTCTAATGAATAACAGCGCCTCGAAGTTGCTTTTGACATTTAAAAAAAGACTCAAATGGTCAAAAACAGGCCCGGAGCTTTACATTACAGCTTCCGCGACATGCATCGAGATTCTCAGTTTTTTTTTTTTTTTTTTTTTTTTTAAATTTGTGAAGGCTGTTGTACAAAAAGGTATTTCATTCACCAGTAAATGACGTGCTGTCTTCTGCTGTGCAAGTGCGCACAGTCGTGTTGCAAAGCGACGCATACTCGTTTTAGCTACATTGAGCTTACAGATACCAACGCTTCTATCCAAGTGCGACTCAACAGTTGGTGCTCGTTAGCAGCTGGCTCGTAGCTCCTCCCGCACCGAATGTGTGGCAAACAAGTTTGTCACATCGCGACTAATGGCGCCTGCGACGGTGCTAACGTATCGGCGTGCTGGCGCGCTGGCGAAGTGGTGTGCTGTGCTGGTCGGCTGGTGGCTTGGTGTGGTGGCTCGGACCGCGGCCCACCGAATGTAGGACGTGTAGCTGATGCCTTTTGCTTCGTCTGGCACGCCCTCCAGGACGCGGCCTGTTCCTTGTGCGAATAAGGATTATATTATTATTATTATTAAATCTTAAATTGTTGGACATGGCCCGGCAAGTTCAGGCGATTGATTGAGTTGTATCCAATATTTACCAAATTGTTTACACGTTTAATATTGCTTGCTGAGAAGCGCATCACGCATTTTGCGCATTTGGGTCCACAAAATTAAACATGCAAACGGTTGGCATAGCAGGTGGATTCCTCATATTTTGAGACGCTGAAGTGTCACCGACTCTTTGACTTTGATCGCAAGGTGGTCTTGCACGTTTTGCGTCGGCTGGGTGAATAAGCAGATATTTAGTCAGCCTCCGCATCTTCCGGCCAGTTATTTTGAAGAAATGTTTGTTTCCTGGTTTACAAAATGAAAAAAAGAATCAACTTGGAACTTATAATTGACCAGCACTCTCAGAACACGATACACGGAGTCACTTTCAATGAAGTGTTTATCACACACGCGAGAGGTTCTCGAATTTCGCTTTCCTATTTGAAATTTTATGAGCCATTCCTTTCCTGGTTTTACTTTGTCCGAATCGCGATAAAATTACACCCTTTTCGCCGTGGTAGATGTACCGTTAAATCCCGAGATGCCCCACCCCCGAAAGATATCCCGCCCCCTATTTTTGGCTTGGTTTGGGCATCCCTGGAACGTCTGCACATCCTGAGGATATCCGGTGGATCATGTGTGCTGCTTGAGGGCTATATTTGTTTGAAATACCGAAAGATAGCCCTCTCCTAGTAATAGTAGTGTAGATCAATGATTGCCTCGGCGTAAATGCGGCTCGTTCGCTGTGGTAGGATATATAAGCGAACGTTGCTGACTGGGAAGTACAGTCATCTTTGCTTCGTTGCGTCTCGCCTCCATAACAAGCTTTGAAAGGACATGACCTAAAAATATCAATTTTTTAGAACTTTTCTTGATTGTACATTGAACGTCCGCCCACTTTATATTTTCAGTCGATTTCCTCTTGATGTTAGGTGGGCTATCCTCGGAACTTTACAGTAGTTTGGTGGACAAAGGGGGCGGGGGGCGAAGGGAAGGGGGGGGGGGGGGGGGGGGCGTGGCGGGGCAGGGCGGCGTCGGTCCGCCTTGGGTGCAGCGCTAGGGGAGGGGCAGCTGGGCAGTAAAGGGGGGAGGGAGGGAGAGCCCCTAGGGATCCTGTACAGAAACTCTAGTGTGTGTGTGTGTGGGGGGGGGGGGGGGGGGTGGCACAAGTAGAAGCTAATAGCCCCTCCCCCGGCAGATGGGGAGCGCCACCGTTTTCAGAGCACCTGCAATCGCGTTTCGGTTCTCATTGCTATCTTGCTGAAAGCATAAAGTATCTGATCGGAACTTCATGCTTTGACGATCGTCATCTCCAAAAGGCGACTTCCATCTGCAAGGTGTTTGGCGCAGGGGCGGATTTAGAGGGGGGGAAGGGGGGGGGGGGGGGGGTCCGGATGTCCTGACTCCCCTCTTGATTTCTGCATGTGTAAAATTTAGGGCGTAAAACGAGGGGGAGGGGGTTCCTAAACAGACGGTACGCTGACCAACACCTGACCTTCCCTCAGGAAATTCCTGCATCCGCCCGATTTTTTCCAATTGCATTACAGAGACTACAAAACGAACAAGCGACATGCCTAACTCTTCGTCCGAATAGGCGGGCACAACGTCTTCGACGTAACGTGATATCTTGGGCGTCTTCGCTGGCAAGGCGAACGACTCGGCACTTCGCTGAGTCGTTTATAAGCTCAACCACTGATTCCAACTAAGTACTCTTAATCTTAAATTTAGATTGAACGTAAATGTATCATATAGGCCAGATTCACGAAACGATCTTACGCCAAAAATGTGCGTAAGACAAAACTTAAGAACAAATCCGTATTCACGAAACGAAATTTTCGTAAGTTTTGCGCAGGTTACGACGAAATCCTACGACAGCTCCGAAGCTGTCTTACGCTCTTCTTACGATCAAATCAGCATGGCCGACAGCGTCGCTCAGCGGATGTTTATTTTTCTACGTGCGCTTCTCACGCGTCCCGACTTCAAGCCAGGGGGGGGGGGAAGGAGGGAAAGGGAACGCGGCGCAAAGCGGAGGCTGCCATATTAAAACCGCTTACGTTGCCAGCATAGGTTTTGCAGTGGAGAAGTTGCTGCCAAATACGGCGAACTAATTTTTACTTTCTTTTCGTTTTGGAAAGAGAATGTATTGTTGTGTTATATAAGTCCTCCTGCATACAGACAAAGAAGTTTAATTATATTTGTCTTGTTTACTCGGCTTGAAACCCTAAAAACAGGTTTTGGCAACTTATTGCTGATGCTCGCTCAGCGTACTCGCTGACGGTAACTCTATGTAATTCTTGAGAAAAACTAATTTTTATTTTTAGGTTAATATCGGTTACCGGTAAATAATTTACGGTTATGGTTACGGTTATTATAAATGCCAATTAACGGTTTCGTTCCGGTTTCGGTTACGAAAAAAATTTCGTTCCTAAATGGTTTTTGGTTTCAGTAACGGTTCGAGCCACCCGTTACACGACGATCGATCCAGTCTCGTTGCCTTAGCTTCGACGCGCGCCCCCGATGGCCTTCCTTTGCGACGTCACAAGAAGAGCGCTACGGCCTTATTTCTAGGAGGTGTTGGCTTGGCGCTTCCCTCTCTCAAAATTGTAAACTTCGTGACGGCAGTGTCGCTGTGCGGCTGCGCCTGGACGCGTGGTTTCGTTTACGGGAGTGTCTACATCCACGCGCGGGGATGTAGCCACGTCGGGAGGAGATAAGGCTCTATCCACGCACTACGTCACTTCCGGCGCCCTACGTCACTTCTTGCGTGGACGGAGGCAGTTCTTCCAGTTCTTCCGTTTTCTCTCCGTCCACGCAGCAATCGACCTGCGGTCTTGCCTCCCATTAGGGAGTTTTCGTAGATCGTCTTCGCCGTCCCGCAAGGCCCTCCGCAACCCGCTACGATAGCGGGAACTCCACAGTCAAGGCTATCGGCGCGCAGGCGCAGTAGCAACTTCTTCGTTGCGGAACGCTTAGCGGAGGGGTCAGCGCGGTCTACGAAAACTCCCTATTGTTTTGCCATGTGCTCGGTGGCCATTGCTCCTTGCGTTCCTTCCATGCGCGGACTGCTGTTCCTGCATGCATGGTCTTCTGCAACCGGGTTTAACTTTCTCTAAAGCGTTTTTTTTTATTGTTTTCTTTGTTAAGGAGTTGGGCCCTTTATTACAAGAGCGAATGACATTTTAGCGAACGGCGACATTTGAGCGAATGGTCGTTTAGCGAATAACGGGGGCGCGCGTTAACCCATCCGTCGCGCTGCGCTTTACGCCGCTTCGCGGCGACAGTCTGCGGCAACTCATTACGAAAATATGAACTCACTTGGCCCACCCGAAAACGCCGCTTCGCGGCGTCCGACTATTCGCTAAAGTGTCATTCGATGAAACGTGGGCGTTCGCTAAAACGTCATTCGATCAAGTGAGTGCCTCCCCTTCTGATATGCCTCCAGTTTTGGTTGCCGGGGATTCTATGGTGAAATACTTGTCCCAATATTTGGCATCGAAAAACCGGGTGGCTGCCGAAGTGCGGGTGTTTAGTGGCATTAGGATCGAGGCCTTGTTTTTCAAGGTGTCTGACGCCCTGCTCGATGTTGGCACAAACAACACCAGCGTTGGTGCCAGCGCGCACGTTGACAAGTACCGTCGGCTGGCCGCTCAGATCTTGGAACGCAAGCCGACGACGCAGATCGCCTTTTCTTCCGCGGCGGGAGAACAGGTTCTCTACGTTGAAGTGTCAGCGTAGGCAGAGTGCAGTGATCCAGGCGTTGAATGATCGGCACAAAGAAGTGAACTGGCTCCTGCAGGAGTTCTGCCGCAAGAAGGGCTTCGCGTTCATCGCTGATCTCGTGAACGATTGGCATCTGTGCACCGGCTACTGTTTTATTTGTCATGAAATAAACTGTTCCTGTAACCTTTTACCCAGTTCTCTTGATTGAATGCTCTCGGTAGGTTTGTTATTACTGGGACTAATGCATTGTTCTCATCCTGTCACAATCTTTGTGAG